TATCCTAATTCTATGTTAAGATACAGCCTGTTGTGCCTTAAAATGGCTTCTACTGTGCAGCTCAGTGGAGTTGCCATGCTAAAGGCTTCAAAGTACTCCACAGGGGGGCTCCCTCCGGTAAAGGGTAAAATCTAACATTAGAAATTACGTTTGGTCCGGACATTTTCAACAACATCAGAGCTTTTCCTGTCTAACATAGAATTAGGATAAATAAATACCAGGGAAACGCGATATTTAGGATTAGGATTAAGATAAATAAATACTAGGCAGTTATCAGCTAGTGTTGCTATCAATATTAGTTCTGGCAAAGATTGTGCAATTCCTTGGGGCTGGGTAAAGATTTATTAAGTGATTGGATTTTCATAGCCACCCATCTCCACAAGGGTCTCTCGGCAGCATACATCATAAAACACAAAAACAAATTAAAAACAATTAAAATGCCAAACATGTATATACCGCACCAAGCAGAACTGGAACAAGGACGCTAATGCAGCCGTGAAAGGGGACTTTTATTAAGACAGACGGGTTTTAAAATCTTGACATCAGCCAGTACAGGGAGTCCTCGACTTCCGACCACAACTGAGCCCAACATTTCTGTCGCTGAGCAAAACATCGCTAAGGTGGAGTTTTTGCTCCATTGCATGGCTTCTCTTGCCACCCTTGTTAAGCGAATCGCTGCCGTTAGTAACACGGTTGTTAAGTGGATCTGGATTCCCCGTCGACTTTGCTTGTCGGGAGGTCATAAAAGTGGAATCACGTCACACTGCCAACCGTCATAAACACGAGTCAGCTCCTGAGTGCCTGAATTTGGATCGTGTGACCTCAGGGACGGTTGCAAGTCCCTGTTTTCGGCCCCTTGTTTAACTTCAAAGGGTCACTCAACGAACAGTCGTAAGCCGAGGACTTCCTGTACCCCATTAACCTCGCCTTGCAGTGTCTTTCTCAAACCCCCTATACCTCCATCAAAGTTTCTTCAGGCAGCTCTGGAGCTTCGAAGCTGGGAGGCGAGGCGCCGTAAGGCATGTACTTCAAGCAAGGAGCTGCCTCCACTCCAGGGGGCGAGGACCCCATATAAATCCCAGGGGGGGAGCCCATCAGGATCCGGCCACTGGTAGAACAGAGAGAACCTCCGGAGCTGTTAGAGCCAACTAAAAGGCAGGAATAATAAAAAAAAAGACACATTACAACACACTCCATTAAGCAGGGGTATCAAANGAGACTCTAGAAAGAGTGCAGAGAAGAGCAACAAAGAGGATTAGGGGACTGGAGGCTGAAACATATGAAGAACGGTTGCAGGAACTGGGAATGACTAGTTTAACGAAAAGAAGGACAAGGGGAGATAGGATAGCAGTCTTCCAATATCTCAGGGGCTGCCCCCAAAAAGAGGGAGTCAAACTATTCTCCAAGGCACCTCTAGGCAGGACAAGAAGCAATGGGTAGAAACTAATCAAGGAGAGAAGCAACCTTGAATTAAGGAGAAGTTTCCTGACAGTGAGAACATTTAATCAGTGGAACAACTTGCCTCCAGAAGTTGTAAATGCTTTAAAGATATTGGATATCCATTTGTCTGACGTAGTGTAGGGTTTCCTGCCTAAGCAGGGGGTTGGACTAGAAAACCTCCAAGGTCCCTTCCAACTCTGCTATTCTGTTCTGTTCTATTCTATTCTATTCTAATCCTATTATTCCTATTGTTAATTTTAATTCAAACTTTTAAAAAAAATGTTATTGTTAATTCTAATTGGTTTTTTGGGGGGATATTCTATTTAATTTTTTTTAACTTTTGTATTATGTCTTTCTTTTAATGTTGTACGCCACCCTGAGTCCTTGGGAGAAGGGCGGCATATAAATCTAATAAACCAAACCAACCAAACCTATTGGCCTAAAGACATCAGCGTGGGTGTGAGTAACACTTGCTCTGAGCTGGAGCCTGTGGGCCTTGCTCCAAGCAAAATCTTGAAGAAGAATCACAAAAAGTTTTATAAGGATAAGAGACGCCAAGACAGATCTACAACTGGTTGCAAGCTCGTTGTAGTTTTGCAACTTCGTATAAGCTCGGATTTCAGTTAAGAGGGTTGTGTGGATATTGTAGCTAGATGGGGATTCTCAGTCATCCAGGCCATAATTTGCCCAAATGCTGCAACGGCCATAAACTGTGAGCACCACGCTTTTTCAAGCGCTGTTGTCATTTCAAATGGCCGGTAAACGAAACGGTTGCAAGTCGAGGACTAGCTGTCATCAATCTTCGGATTTCAAACCAGCTCCTTTATCTATAGAAACATCTCAATGCCTAATTTTATAAAAACCTGCAATTCTAGCTTGCTTCAATGTGCTCCTAAGAGCAGTTTTTAGGAAGGAAAATGTGGAGCAAAATAAATTTCATGGCACAATGATGATCAAGTACTTCAGGCACGAAAGCATCAAAACCAGAGGTGAGCTGCTGCCGGTAAGCATCGGTTTAAGCAAACCGATAGTTAAGATTTTGCACAGTTCAGCAAACTGTCAAATCCCACCACTGGCTGGCCTCGCCCCTGCTTGTTTTCTGGCCATTTTTTCAGACCAAAATTGGCCTGAAAATGGCCCAAAAAACCGACCTGAAAACAGCCCAAAATTGGCCTGAAAAACAGCCTGAAAAAAAGCCAAAAACCAGGCCGAAAAACAAGCAGGGGCGGGGCCAGCCAGTGGTGGTATTAGTCCCAACCGGCTGAATCCTACCTCTGCCGTTGAGCGAGTGGCTGGGAGGCGTAGCTGGGTGTGATGTCACCCACCCAGTCATAGGACCAACCGGTCACGCCTACCCACCCAGAGAACCGGTTGTTAAGTTATTCAAGTCCCACCACTGATCAAAACCCATGTTCTGTTTTACGGGTGGTCCTCGACTTATGACTGTAATTGAGGCTGAAATTGTAGTTGTAAGTCGGGCCGATTGAGGGTCTCCTTGTGACTTAGCAACGGAAATGTTGGGCTCAATTACGGTCCTAAGTCAAGGAGTAACTCAGAAATGGGTTCCTACCAGTTGGCCTGGTTCAGCCGAGTAGGTAGTAACTCGGCCTGCCACCCCCCGTCCCCACCGAACCGGTTCTATCGTCGCCACCGCCATCTTGATTTTTGGTTCTGTGCCTGCGCAGAACAATTTCCATTGCAACAATGTAATTCCCCCCCCGCTTTCTAACATTGTGCGCATGCGCCGACCTTTTTAGGTGCAAATGCGCATGCATTTGAAAAATGTTTGTGCGTCGAACTAGCAGTAATGCTGGCAGCAATCCACCCCTGAACTAGCCGTATAACACAAAATGAGCAGCGTCCGAACGAAAAATGCCATTTTTTTGTATACGGGTAGTTCTTGACCCCGGTTGGCGATTCGTATACTTTAATGACATGGCAATACAGGATTGCCATTTTTATTTTTCGGCTGCGCTGTGTTTTGTTTGAAGTACGTCATCTATAAAAGTAGCAACCCCCCACCCCACACGTACAGCGGTTGATGTTCTCAATGTCAGCCGGGTCCTGCAAGATCTTTGCCAGGCCCTCCATCAGCAACGCGGCTTTATGGTACCGGTAAGCAATATCTTCCGTCTGCTGAAACATCTCATCCAAAGCTGCTGCCTGGACCTGAGGAGGAGGAGGAAGAGGAAGAGGAGAGGCAGATGAGCAGAGGCCAAGAAGAAAAAGACCGGAGACACACACACTCTCTCTCTCCTTCCACCCATCTATCTATCCTCTTTGTATCATCCACCCATCCCTCTCTCTGTCCACTCATTTTCTTTTGTCTGTCTGAATAATCTATCATCTATCCATCTACTATCTATCTACATCTCTCTCTCTCTCCTCTTTGTATCACCACCCATCCTTCTCTCTGTCCATCCATCTTCTTTTGTCTGTCTGAATAATCTATCATCTATCCATCTACTACTTACCTATCTATATATATTTATCTACATCTATCAATCTACCTACCTACCTACCTATCCATTATTTATGTATCATCCACCCACCCCTCTCTGTCCACCCATCTTCTTCAATCTGTCTGTCTAATCTATCAACTATCTACTACTTATCAATCTATCCATATCTATTTATCTACATCTCTCTCTCTCTCATCTTTGTATCATCCACCCATCCCTCTCTGTCCATCCATTTTCTTTCATCTGTCTGTCTGAATAATCTATCATCTATCCATCTACTACTTACCTATCCATATCTATTTATCCATATCTATCTATCATCTATCTATCTATCTATCTATCTATCTATCTATCTATCTATCTATCTATCTATCTATCTATCCATCCATCCATTATCTATCCATCTATCCATATCTATTTATCTATATCTATCCATCCATCCACCCATTATCTATCCATCTACTACTTACCTATCCATATCTATTTATCCATATCTATCTATCATCTATCTATCTATCTATCTATCTATCTATCTATCTATCTATCTATCTATCATCATCTATCCATCCATCCATTATCTATCCATCTATCCATATCTATTTATCTATATCTATCCATCCATCCACCCATTATCTATCCATCTACTACTTTTTTATCTATTCATATCTATTTATCTACATCTCTCTCTCTCTCATCTTTGTATCATCCATCCATCCTTCTCTGTCCACCCATCTTATTTCATCTGTCTCTCTAATCTATCATCTATCCATCTACTACTTACCTATCCATATCTATTTATCCATATCTATCTATCATCTATCTAT